TTATACACATCCCTCCTTGCAGAGGCTTAGCTTCATCTACGTTAACCCATGAAAAGTGAGTGGAAGCAAATGTTGATCTTCAATCTCTCTATAATCATTTGCAGTCTGACTCCTTTTACTTTATCTGCGTCTTATGTTTTGTCCTCTTCCTGAACAAACTAATAAAAACCTTTTAAAATTAAAATAAGCCCATTGTGGAGGGAAAGTGTTTGGTAGGAGAATTTTGATGCTAGAAATTGCACACGTTCTTACGAGCGGCTTTTATCCTATGTTGCGTCCTTTAGATTTAATTTTAGATAATGCGCAGTAATGGAGCAGGTGGCAATGCCAGGATATTTGTCATTTAATTTGTCATTTAATTTTTTAGCAGGAGGAAATACATCAAGGAGTAGTGGGTTATAAACATATCAAGGGCACTCTATAAGCAAACCTGAATCCAGATTTGTGTCTAAAGGACGATTCTTTGTATGCTTATTCAGAAGGGAGATTCCCTGTTTTCATAGGGACTTATGTCCAGTTCCAGGAAAGTGTGGACACAAATGCATATTTAGCTTCTGATTCACAGCATTTCCATAGAGTTCCCCTTTGTCCAACTTATGCCATTTTCAGCATGTCATACCAGTTCCTAAATGCCAGTGGAAATAATATCTGCTATTAAAAGACGACCAATCTATGATTTAGTAGAGAGCAAAGGGATCTCAAAGTCATCTTTCCCATACCCTCTCCTTTTCTAACATTGCTCGAAGGTAATTAGAAGTTTCCATTTGGTTGATCCCAATTTAATTTGAATTTTAACCAATCGCTCATCTTAACCAGTGCTAGTTGAAGTCATCATGAATTGTAACTTAGAGCTGGCTTATTTCAATTGAGATTCTCCACAGTTTAGTGCTTGGAATTTATATCAATATGCAGGTAAGATAAAAAAAAAAAAAGTGGAAGCAAAAGTTTTCAAGCTTTTCTGCACTTTGGAAGACAAAGATTTACGAGCAATTGCAAGATTCACCGCAGCTCATTCTTATGATGCCAAACCATAATAATCTCAGTATTATGTCCAAATGCAGCCTCCTGTTTTAAATCTAGACGTATATGAATCCAGCTAAGCTGGATGTTTGTGATTTTATTTTTTGGGGAAATATGAGGAAGATATTAACAGGATGAGTATATCCCATTCTGCAAAAGTCATTATTGGCAAAAGCAACTGCTGGAATAATAAGACCTTTGTGTCAGATGACTTTTCACATTGTTATGATTCTACAGGTTTTTTTAGTCAAACATTGTGTACTCTTGTTATTGTTTCAGATACAGTGGTTAAAACTAAAATTCATGTTACTTTCATGAAGGGGGAAGTACTTGCATCGTATGTATTTACAATGTGTTTTACATATATTGTTTTAAGAAGAAAGGGGGAGACATAGAGCAGCTATTAGTCTTGATACACAGATGTTGTTGCTACTGCAGCAACCATATGCTAATATACTGTATGTCCTGTTGAAGGATGAATAGGACATTTCTCTTTTTTGTCAGGAACGGAAGTGCCCCAAACCAATTCAAAGATATTTAATTTTCTGAATCAAGTCCAGCATCTTTATAGAATGGTAATGACATGTTTCTTGACGAACATCATCCCACAGATACCTTTCTATTTACCTTCCTCTCTTTTAGTTTAAGAATTAAACAGAGGAGTTGCAGATTTACTGATGAGGCTAAGGTTACAAAGACTTGGAAGTAATACTGTTGATATGTATTTATACACCCTCATTATTATTATTATTATTATTATTATTATTTTGCATTTTGTCACTGACATCTCTGGTTAAACTGGTTTTCAGGTTTCTGTAGTGCTTCCAACAGTACTTCAAGCCCAAACTAGTTTTAAATTTACATTTAGCAAGCAGTGACTGTACGTACCCAGTTGTTCAGTTTTATATGCATCTATTTTTTATTATACTATTGAAAAAAAAGCACAGTACAACTATCCTCAACAAAGTCATTGCATGCTAGGCATAATGTTTCTCTTACTGTCTCCTATTTTACAATCAAGTTTTTTTTAACCACACATGCACAGTTTCCATCCCTTAAGCCTCATTAGGATGACCCTTGCCTACAGCCCTGGTCGTGTGCCAGCTACATTTTGCCATGTTGTCATGTGACCATTTTTATAGCATTGCCATTCCACTCAGTCTGTGTAATTCCCAATAACAGTTTAATGGCCTTTGCTCCCTGATTATCCAAGAGGCTTCTGCAGTTCTGAAATCACTGTTGTAAAGCCATCAGTTGGTCAGTTTTGTTTCTCTTGACTGTTGCAGCCCAACAATCATTTCCCTTAGCAAGACCAGGGGGAAGATTTTGAAACAGGCTTAAGTAAGGACCCATTTGTGCATTATATTTTAAGAGACTCTAGTATGTGCTCTTATTGCACCGTGTGGATGCTAAATTGTTTTCTGGAATATGTCACCTTGAGCATTGTCAGGAAAAACCCTCTATTTCAGTCATATTTAGAGCCATCTCTGCTCTCTGTTTTATTTTGTTGAGTCAACTACCTGTTTACGTTCCATTCAGGCATGGAGAAATATATGTAATCAGATCTTCCAGCATATCCCATGCATTTGAGATGGTTACTAGCACTGAGAAATGGTTTTCCAATTTTTTTCCCTACCATTCCTGTCGTTTGACGCAGACAGGTGTTGCCAATAGTAGACCTACTAAGTGTGGCCCTCAGATAAGTGCTGGATTCACATATCTTGCTGAACAAGTCGTATTCTGAGAGCACTTCTTAAATTAGATTAAACAGCCACAAGAATCATTTGTGGTTCTTTGGAATCACCATAAGAATCTTTTTTATTATTATTAAAAGGTAGGAAACTTGTTTTTAAGTCAATTGGCTTATTACTTGTGTTGTTAGAAGTCATACAGAACTTTAACAATATTGTTTTGTGGGTTTCTGTCTCAAACGCCTTTTCCAAAACCTTACACTTTTTCACCCTGGACAAAACTTGATTCCTGATGATGCACTAGATATATAAATCCAATTTTCTTGGCAACAAAATGAAAAGGGTTTGCCATTGTCTTCTTCCAGTATGGTGTGTGTGTGTGTGTGTGTGTGTGTGTGTGTGTGTGTGTGTTTGTACATTTGCCATTATCACCTACTTCTTCTACCTTCTAATCTATATTCTACCATTTCATTATTATGCAAAGTTCATCCTGATATTGCAGTCTAGATGGATGGCGGATAAATAAATGAAGCTAAGTAGACATATACTGTTTTTGTTGTAATGGCAGCAGCAATACTTTCGACAAAATGGCTGATGATGCTGTGCTGGAAAAGCATGAGTCAAAAAGATTAACTTGATTAGTTGAATGTCTACCCAGCAGAAGCCACACTATGGTTTCAAAAGGCAGATTTGAACAAAACATGCCTTTCTTGTGGCAAAATAAGAGTAAATGGTAGGCTCCTGATGAGTAGAAAGTTGAAAGGCTGAAAGGCTTAAAAAGAGCGTTCCAGTCATAGATGTTATTATTCATCATTATTTTTAATGTGATTTGTCTTTCATGCTATCATCTTGTTTTCTTAATAGCCCACTCATTTTTATGTGTACTGTTACAAATGGGGTTTTATGGAAGCTGTATGGATATTCAGAGTTCAGAGACATGATAAAGGTATTGAAGAGTGAATAATGCTTAACACGGTTTTTTAAAGAATCAAGATATTTTGGAAGAAAAAATGATTTTTATGAAAGAGTAGGCTTGCCTTTGGCTAGCTACTAAGTTAATGGCTGAAGCAATACTTTAAACAGATTAAGTGAACTCCCAACATGTAGCACACACTGTCTTGCTATCTCAGTTCTCAGTGGATATCAGATTTTCTGCTTTCTACAATTGGAGCACCATCCAGATGTGTGAACTTCAGCTTCCAGAATGTTCAGCAGCGGCGATGCAAACTAAAGTTCTGAGAATTTTGGATGTTTGTCAGGTTGCAGAAATCTGATGTATGAGACATCATGTGCAAAATTGTTTTGTATCTGGAAAAATATATTTGATTGTTGTGAAATATATTTGATTGTTATGAAGTGCATGGAATGGCCATGTAGACAAAGTCATGGGGGAAAGGGCAAGAACTTTAAACATGCCCATATATGCTTCTCTGAATGTCTTCCAGAGTATGGGTAGTCCTCAATTTACTGACCCATCAAAGTTACAACAGACTTTTCTAGGGTTACTTATAACCCAGATTCTAAATTCTGAAAGCCCCCACCCCCACAGTCACATGATCACATTTTTGTACCCTCAGCAATCAGCCCACATTTACAGCCATTTGCAGCATCCTGTGGTCACCTGATCATGTTTTAGAACATTTTTACCAAAAAACATCTTTAGTTCTGGTTTCCGGCAAAAAAAACACCTATTGCAGACAATGGATTTACTCAACCACTGTTATACTTACTTAATGACCACAGTGGTTCACTTAATGATTGCCCCAAAAAAGGTTGCAAAATTGAGTGTGTTCACATGGTGACCTAATTAACAACTGGCATGACTTAGGACTGTAATTCCAGGCTCAGTTACAGTTGTAAGTCAAGTATTATCTGCATATACTTCTCCCACCCAGAAGACTAACAAAAGGGAGCAGAATTATTACAGTATGTTTTCTATTGACAATGGCTACTACCATGCTTCCATTCAGTGGCAAGTTTGGAAGATATCCTAGCGGCCATATTCCAGTTTTTGTGGCACATTGGCATATCATACATTATATGTAAAAAGAAATATAAAGTAGATCACTAATTAATTAGTTTACATCCTAGCCAATTTGTCCTGTGTGACCATGTTTACTAAAGAGGACATGATGACTTGAAAGTAGATGCCACTGATATAATTAGTAAAGTTATTTGTAATAAGTAAATAAATATGGGTTTTTAAGAAGTTGTATGATATATGATTAATATTCCTAGATGAAATGGATCTTAACATGAGGTGTGTTGGATATCTTCTTTCTTCTCCAGGCCATTCATGCTTCTGCCCCCATTGATGGAATGGATGCGAGTAGCTATAACCTATGCTGAGCATCGGCGTAGTTTAACAGTAGACAGTGATGACATCCGACAGACAGCTAGGCTGCTATTACCTGGATTGGACTGTGAACCTCGACAATTGAAGTAAGTGGTGTACTTTTAATATTCCACCTACATTTAATAGCAGTATATTCTAATTAAGGCTGCTGTTTTCAAACACATTTTATATACACATACCAGAAGACTAATTTGTGCATAATGGGAAATCCATCTGTGTCAGTATCATTTCTGGAGGACATATGTTGTGCTGATTTATAAACTTTAGCATTTTTCTTAGCCATCAAAACAAAACCACCAAACCAAAAAAAAATTAATCTAAAATGGGACAAGCTCCTCCTTGGACTTATTGTGATTGACCATATGTGACCCCAAAGGTAAATCACAGTTTGTTCAAGAAAACTGAAGGACCGCATTTTTAAAGGTATAATGATCAGGCACATAGAAAGAGCATCAACATAGGTTTTATGAAGTAAAATCAGGCCGCAATAACCTTTAGAGGTTTTTTCAAAGTGTAAAGAAACATGTACAGAGGGATGACCTTGAAAAAAATAGTTGATTTGAATTTTGAAGAAGCTTTGACCAAATATAAAAAAATTCTTGAGCAAACAGAGCAGTCATAAATAAGAAAAGATTGGTAATGATTAAATAGCAGAAATCAGAGAATGGGGTTAATTGAACAGTTCTTGCTATGGTTGGACATCTTCATTCGTCTTCCTGAAGAATCTGCATCGGGACCAATATTTTTATTCTTTCCAATCCAACAGAGTATTGGAAGGAAATTATATAAAAGAGCTTGGTACCATCTGCCCTCTGGCCATCTGTCTACCAATAGGAAAACTCTCCCAAATCAGAACAGAACAGGACAAATTATCTATGAGAAGGAGAAGCATGCAAAACAATGAGTGTGTGTCTCTGTGTGTGTGTTTTTAATAGGCTGGATTTGATTTGGAGTTGCAGAGAAAAGAAATCCAGGGAAAAAAATATCCCCCAATGTACTACTATATGTTGGGAGAAGCAGCTGGAAACAGTAACTCAGAAATGCTGCTTCTACTCTAAGCCCCCACTTTTCTGGTCACGTGACCCAGAGCAGAATGTGTGCAGCCTTCTCAATACTTCTCAGGGCACACATGCATACAAAGCAGAAACACACGTACATAACATATTAGTTTGTTGCACAGGAGAAAGTAAATATGTCCTCTGTGGCCAAGGGGTTTGTAAGCAATTCATGAAGCCATGCTCTATATGATTTCTTTAACTTATTTATTTTACTTAGCTCACTTTCAAACAAGTACCTCACCAGATGGCTATATATTAAGCAGAATGGTAAGAATGTCTGGAGAAGCTTATGGATAATTAAAACTATAAAATCCATTTCCACAAAATGAAGCAGTGGCTACTGATTTTTAAAACTGTTTGGCCAAATTCACGAACAGTAAACCTTTAGCAGAACAACAGAGTTGGAAGGGACCTTGGATGTCTTCTAGTCCAACCCCTTGCTCAAACAGGAGACCCTATACCAGACAAGTAGTTTTCCAGTCTTCTTAAAAGCCTCCAGTGTTAGAGCACCCACAATTTCTGAAGGCAAGCTCTTCCACTGGTTAATTGTTCTAATCATTACGAATTTCTCTTTAGCTCTAGGTTTCTTCTCTCCTTGATAAGTTTCTATTCATTATTTCTTGTCTTGCCTTCTGGTGCTTTGGAAAATAGCTTGACCCCCTCTTCTTTGTGTCAGCCCCTCAGGTATTGAAGCACTGATGTCATGTCTCCTCTAGTCCAGGGCTTTTCAACCAGTGATACGGTACCACCTGTGGTACATTGGCACCTGGCAGGTGGTACGCAACCATCCTAGAAAAGTGGTAGTTGGAGAGGGGAATGAGCTGAACCGGTGGCAGCATCGCACAAGCCTGAGCAAGAGATGGCTGGAGCTGCAGGGCTGTCAGGGCTCAGCGGAAGCACCAGGATCAGTGCCGCTTTTCAGCTGATCGGCGCTTCGGGGCTGTCAGGGCTCAGTGGAAGTGCCAGGATCAGCGCCAGGCTTCAGCTGGAGCTCGGTGCTGATCCTGGTGCTTCTGCTGAGCCCTGAAGAAGCACCAATCAGCTGGAAAGCAGCACTGATCCTGGCACTTCTGCTGAGCCAAGAAGCGCCGATCAGCTGGAATGTTGCAGCATCTCCAAGGTCTTATGATTTACATTCAGATGCTTGGCAACTGATTCATATTTATGACGGTCACAGTGTCCCAGGGTCATGTAAAGTGACCAAAACCTGCTGCAACCACCCAGCAGACGGGGGGAATAAAAACCAAACACCCCCCCACCCCACCCCCGCTGCCAATCCTCAACAGAAATGCTCACAACAATGAAAACCTCAGACAGGAGGAAGAGCGTCGCCAGGTGGGCAGGCAGGTCTCTTGCTCGGCTGTGGCTTGGGAGGCACTTTTTTCAGTGCCATTGTAACTTCGAACAGTCACTAAGCAAACTGTTGTAAGTCGAGGACTACCTGTACTACTTTTTTTTCCTTTTACTTTTTTTGGGTCAAGTTTTTGACACCTTGCTAGGCGACTGGTGGTACTCGGATATTGCCATATCCTAAAAGTGGTACAATGGGTGAAAAGGTTGAAAAGCCCTGCTCTAGTCTTTCTTTTCACTAGACTAGATATAACCAATTCCTGCAACTGTTCTTCATATGTTTTAGCCTCCAACCTTCTAATCATCTTTGTTGCTGTTTTTTTTTCTGACTGGTAGCTGCCAGTCACGATTATGACAGGATACCTGTATGAATCATAAAGCGCTGATGCTATACAAATTAATTAAAAGAAAGAAAGAAAGAAAGGAAGGAAGGAAGGAAGGAAGGAAGGAAGGAAGGAAGGAAGGAAGGAAGGAAGGAAGGAAGGAAGGAAGGAAGGAAGGAAGGAATTGCATTAAGCATATAAAATAGTATGAACATATGTTCTCTCTAAAGTATGCACAATTCATGAAACCCATGCACATGATAAAAAGTCAAGTGCACACAAAATTATTTAAATTGAGTTTAAATAATAATAATAAATATAATTACCAATCATCATCAATTCCAGACTCACGACTCATAAGCTGTCCTGCACGAGTTCGTCACCTCAGCTTATCTGCAGCAGTGAGGATTGCTTGGTGCTGCCACAGCACAGACAGAGCAGGGACACCATGTGACAGACATTCCCTCTCAGTTTGTGTTACAGCAGTGCCAAGCTACCCTCACTGCTGCAGTTAAGCCAATGTGGCAAGATTGTGCCTTTTGCCCAAGATAGCAGACAGGTAGGGGTTTTTTCCTCCCAGCCTTGCAATGGTAGCCAGTTTGCTCCAAATCCCAGAACCTCCATTGTACAAAGGAGTGCTTCCCTACAAAAAAAAAACCCCTTTTATTTCCCTCCTCCCTCAAAAAAAGTTTCATTTTCTTCTTCCCACCAAAAATAAAATAATAATTATTTTCCCTCCTTCATCGAAAAAGGCTTGATTCCCCTCCAAAAAGCTTTAATTCATTAGCATCCTTCCTCCTCCCCAAAAAACCTTAATTTTTCACCTCTCTCCAATAAAGGTTTAATTAATATCTGTGAGTTATTACAGATCCATGATTATCCATGATTGCTAGGATATTTGGATACTAACATCCTAATGGTATCTGGTTGACTATTGTGGAAACAAAAATCTGGATTAGCTGGGCCTTCCATATGATTCAGCTTAGGATCTTCTGCTGCTGTTTGAAGAACCTTCAATATTATGGCAGGGAATATTCTAGTACAAACTATATGAACTAATAGCAATCAGTCAGTTGCTTCCTTCCACAGTCCAGTTGTTATATATTCTACTCTTTTGCCATCATTGTTTGCTGTCTTGGTGTCATACACTTATCATATTAATCTTTAAATACACTTGGAAATCTCAATATTTATACCTCTTCAAAATCTCAATATTTATAGGCAATTATTTTGAGGATGAAGCTAATTTCCCATTTATGAATATGCTTTGGAGTATTACTGTATATAAGTATATTTTAAGCATGAAAGATTTCATTTAAAATCTTTAACTCTTTCATAATCCTGTCTGGCTTCTGAAAAGTCATGTAAGTACCCTCAAGGGTCTCTGAAAAACTGTGAAAAGTAGTTATTACAAGAAGAAAGATGCGTTGAAGTGTAACAATATTTTTTATTGAAGAGTCAGTTGCAGTCAGGTGGCATCAATATCAAATAAATACATAAATTGAATTTTAAGATTGCTAAATGTAATGCACTGAACAGAATATTATCATTTTTCTTTAACTGCTCAGAAATGGGCTAACAGTGCAAAATTTCTTTCTTCCAAGTCTTTCAATCTAGCAGTCTCAGTTTAGAGTAAACAAAACTCACACATTGAAAATTTCCCAATCTGCTACTTTTGGCAGCAGCGCTCCATATTGTTTTCCTAACCTCAACTGTTTTATCTGATGCAATCAAAAATGAAATTAGTCATATGCAACACCAACAATTAAAACATAAGTATCCCATCTGTTTAGAGAGAGAAAAGCTTTGATAATTTCATCAAGGTCTCTCGCCCCCTCTGACTACTTTCACTAAAAAGAAAAACCCAAACAACCTCAATTTGCACATAAAGAAGAAAGTGTCAAATGAATCTGCTAACTGTCCATGTGAAAGACCTATTGGGAGACAACCACACAGCAAGACTACAGTTAATTCTCCAATATGGGAGACAGCTGTAGGTTGGCATAAAAATGTGCTGACTGCACGTCCAATCCTTATTCTGCCTGAGCATTGAAGTCTTCCAGAAGCCTGCTGGACACAAATAAAAATTGCACCTACCCATCCCTGCAGATCAACCCCTACTTACTACTAGATCCGTAGTTTCAACCTGACAACCGATGCCTATGGAGCAACTTTCTTCTATTTCCTTTTTCCAGACAGTTCTTTGCAACTGCATGGAAAACCTCAGTAAAATAGAAGAACTTTTGCCTCAAGAGCCCTTCCCCATCCTCACACACAAACACACTCAATGCACACATACTTCTCTTGCAACCTTACCCAGCCTGACAGCTGCACATCTGCTTGCCAAATTTGGCAAATAAAATGGGAGGGATTGGTGTCTGGCACAGTTGGATCCTCCTGTTGCCAAAAGATTGAAAAACAATGGCTAGGGACCAAAGAGGTGGATATAGTCACAGTGGCTTCAAATGGGTAATAGGAACAATAGGACCCTAATCTTTTTTGCAGTACGTGCTATAGAGCATCCACATGATAAGATCTCTTCTATAGATGCTATAGAGAAGACATGTCAAATTTGTGACATTGCGCGACGTATCGGAAATTTTTCCCCATTGCCGGCAATGGGGTAGGTGCGGTTTCTTTGTGAGGCGTCCAGCCCGCGGGTCGGCAGTTTGACACCCCTGCTATAGAGCATCCACACAATGATCCCTTCTCCTAGTGACTCCCTCCCATTGGAACATCATTCCCAGGCAGATTAAACTGGCCCCCACTTTGACACTCTTTCTCAAGGCCCTGAAGACCTGGTTTTGCCAACAGGCCTGGAGAACCCAGAATGGGAAGGAAACTATCAAGTAGCTTGTTAGATTGATTTTTGTTGCCTGGGAGTGGGGAGTTATTGTATTTATTGTTTGTGTATTGGGATTTTTTGTAAGCTCCCAGAGCCATATACATTCTCTAATTAAATAATAAGTTTCTGCATCGTGGGATGAATTGAAGACAAAGTCATCTGTTAACAAAATGGTTAACAAAGCATCTGTCTTAGGTCTGATCTACACATGGTCAAGTGAGATGAGCATGAATGATAGGATTGTAACTTTTCAGCCTACAAGAGGAATTGTGCCTTTTCTGAATGTTCCCTGCAAATGATTAACAAGAACTGGGAGCTAAAAATATTGCCTCTTGGTAGGAAATTTGAGTTAGAAACATCATTTAGAAACATGATCTCTTTATCTCAAGTCTGAAATAATACAATCCTTTACGCCAACTCAGATTTCTGCCCTATCAAATGTAAAACAGTCCTCAGATTAATGGTGAGGGAAGGCAAATACTGTAGCCGGAACGATGTGAAGCAGAAATAATTCTATGTCTTTCGTTACATCTGTTTCTTCCTTAGTGAAAGCAAGATCACAACATGCTGGGATACAGGACACTAGCTGCAATATTAATAATATTAATAAGCTCTGGTTGCATTGTTTGGTTGTAACACTTCCACAGGCCAGAATGCTGCTTTAGTTCCTTCCGGCGAATGGATGCAAAGGCTGCTATTGAAAAATTCCAGCAGGATCTGGGGTTTCGAATGTTGAACTGTGGAAGGACTGATCTGATTAACCAAGCTATAGAAGCCTTAGGACCTGAAGGCGTTAATACAATGGATGATCAGGTATATAAAAGTCAGTTCTATCACATTCACGACATAGATGAGCAAGATCCAAATCGATAGTCCAGGTTATTACAATCATGTCAACTTATACTCTTCCCCAAACCAGCATGTAAAAATTCTTACTACAGGTGGACTCAGGGCTACTCTGATATTCTGTATCATTCAGCACTACGAGCTTTTAACTGACTCTAGTTATTTTAGCAAAACTGGGCACATCTGTGCTTCTCCTTTTCCTTAGAAATGCCAAAGCATCATCCTGTTATAGGAGACTTCAGTCAATAGAAGGCAGTAACTAAATTTACAAGGGGAAATACAAGAATTTCAGAAGCCTCATTAATCTGACCGATATCATAAAGGCATTGTCAAGATTTGTAGACAAAGTAAATTTGTAAAGCAAATATAGTAGCTGTAAACCAATGTTGTCTCAGTGTCTCATAGTATGTCATCTGGAACTCACTTCTGCCCACCTCTGAATTCATAACACAGTGTGCTATGTTGACATAGCAATTTTGTGTTATTAACCTGTGTTTATGGTTCATGTGTTATATGAATGCATTCATTTTATGTCTCACAGACAAAAAGAGAAGTAAAAGAATAATGTGCAACAGTTAAGCATTTCTGCAAGAGAATCAATATAAATCCTTACATTGAAATTAATTCCATGCCTAGTCTACTTCCAATGTTTATAAGAAGAAAAATATTTATGCCAAAGTATATCATATATGGATAATATAGATGTATTATAAAGTGTGAAGAAACAAATGTGCAGATGTAGAATATATAGAACCCAACATTTTGTTTGCTTTTGGAAATACAATAACTGGCTGTGTACTTTGTTCTTAAAGGGTATGACTCCACTCATGTATGCCTGTTCTGCTGGAGATGAAGCCATGGTGCAGATGCTGATTGATGCTGGAGCAAATCTGGATATACCAGTAAGTGAAAATCGGCTGCAGAAAGGTAAATGGGTATGGATACTTATTTAATATTTGCAAAGTGAAATATTGCATTTTGAGGTTCATATAATAATTTGCTGAATAGGTTTGGAGAGAAATTTCTTTTTTTTTAGAAATGATGGTGATAGTGGTGGTGGTACTTATGGATTCTAAAGCAACAATGCCTGCCGTAGATGAGATAATGAATTATAATGCAAAGGTATGCAGAAATTGAAAGAATAAATCTTTTTCCTCTGCAAGAACAACCTATAAAGAAAACTAGTAGATGCATTCTAAACCAATCAACCAACCTAAGGAATTAAACACACTAATTAGTATTGGCAGAATTTTCAGAGTTATGTCAGCCCACAGATTCCAAGGATTGCAATTTGCCAAGGTTGTGCTATTCTCAAACGCATTTTAGGAGCTTAACAACAAGAAGAATTGCAACCAATAAACATTTCTCCCTTTTTCCCAGGTTCCTGGAAGTTCATCTCGATACCCATCAGTTCATCCTGATAGCCGACACTGGACTGCGCTCACTTTCGCTGTATTGCATGGCCATATCTCAGTCGTCCAGGTCAGCAAAAGACAAGTTGTCAAACTTTCACATGAAACCTGAAAAGAATATGATTGGACATTCATAACGCATCTCTAACAAGATGAAAATCCATGCTGCCTGGGATTTTGTGGATTGCTCCAACATGTCTGGAAGGCACCAGTCTGTGTTTGCTGCTGAGTATGCCTCAATTTGGAAGCACCTATGTTTTCACTAGCAATGAGAGCCAGTTTGGTCTAGCAACTGGCTAGAAACCAGGAGACTCTGAGTTCTAATCCCACCTTAGCCATGAAAACAAGCTGGGCATTTTTGGGCCGGTCATATATTTTATCCAATAGCTGGCCTTGGGCCAGTCAATCTCTCACAGCCCAACTCACCTCCCAGAGTGATTGTTGTGGGGAAAATAAGAAGAGGAAGGTATGTTGGATACGTTTGCCACCTTGAGTTATTTGTAAAAATAATCAGGTGGATACAAATAAGCAAATAAATAAAATGCCTTCCTCAGACTTTCCCAGGGAAACTGGCAACAATTCATAAACGCAGATTTAGGAAAGAAGTAACACCACCAATGTATTTCAAAAACAAAGCATTGCTTTCATAGTCAATGTTTATTTTTACTGGAACAGGCAATATTTTGCCAGCTGGGAGGTACAAAATGTGCCAAGGAACCTGATTAGGCACATTTATTGGCATGCATTTGTGTATGCACTGAAAGATATAGAACTGTCTCCACACACACAAAACATACAGTCTTCAGACACTTATTTCACTTAGACACAGACAGCTACACGCAAAATGTACATGGCCTTGCCCTGTTATGGATGAACAGGCAGGTATATACATAAACCAACTTTCCCTCCTCAAAGCAGTCTTAAGTAGAAAGAAAAAAGGAGGTAGGAAGCTGTCTTTACTTCCTGGTAAAAGACAGAAGCTGCTTAGCTTGGAAAAGCGGGAAAGAGGGTGGAGCACTCAAGAGACCTTGTGAAAATGTTGTTGGCACAGACACACGGGCTGTCTGTGGACATCCTCATTGCAACCATATCTCTCAAGCCAAAGTGGGATACATATATAAGTAGTAAAGCTCAGATAATCCAAAAGTCAACGGACACAAAACCGAAGGGATTGAGACTGAGGAGAACAAAAGCATGTTTCTTTCTTTCTTTCAGTTACATTTCTTATCATAATGGACTGATTGGAAGATAATCCATCCAAGTAGCTTTATGGAATGGTGCTCAGCTAGTGAGATTAAAAACAGCTGGAGGCCATGAATCCAAATGTGGATACAATCATTTAGGAACAATTCTGAATTCTAAGCGTATTTCCAAATGGTTTTCCGTATCTGCCACTTTTCAGAAATATCTGGAAATGTTATATTTTCATGCATCTGACATACAGCTGTCTCTTTGAAAATTACCAGAGCTTTAAAAAATAGTCAAAGAGAGAAACTTTTTAGAGTTAGTGAATTAAATTCCCAAAATGGTATATGTTAGGACTATCAGATCTGCGCTACAAAATTCCAGATAACCACTAGTGAGTAGCAGAGGCTTACAGAATAATATTTGCTGCCCTCTACTGACCATCTGGAATATTACAGTCCACATCTAGTAACCTTACTGTAGGTCTTACAATAACCGCAAACCACAAGGTAGATGCCATGATTAGCAGTCTCCCTGCCTCCATTTCTTCTTCAAATTCCCTGGTTTTTTTTTTTTACAGTTGCTGCTGGATGCAGGGGCTCACGTTGAAGGTTCTGCTGTCAACAGTGGAGAAGACAACTATGCTGAGACACCACTTCAATTGGCCTCAGCAGCAGGCAAGTCTCTTCAAGTGTTGCATTTTCATTCCTAATAAAGTTTAGAGGTTTCGCAACCTCAGCAACTTCAGCTCCCAGTATTGGCTGACTGCAGAATTCTGGGAGTTGAAGTTCACATATCTTAAAGTTGTTGAAGTTGAGAAATATTGGTATAGATACATAATCTTAAAACAATTGCCTCCAATATCTATTTGGGTTTCAGTCTGACTGTGAAGTGTCAAAAACCCCAAATTTGGAAGAAACGATAATTTCAGAAGTGCCAAATATTTTTACTTACATAGTCATGCAGTTCCTGGCAGCCTGTTTGCAGTGGGGCACTGAGACTATGTAGGATTATGAAATGATGATTTGTACTTAGTGTATGTACACAAGTTAATATGTGATCCCAGTATATGCACATAGATCCACTTGGCATGATTCTTACTCCCTTTTTGGGGAGTGGAAACTATAATAGAAAATAATGGTATGCATATAGATATACACAAACTTTTGCACATTACTGTATTTACACAGTGACATTTGGTACCCACATCTCATCAAATAAACAAGACCACTATTACAAATTAGATGAAGGAAGGAAGGAAGGAAGGAAGGAAGGAAGGAAGGAAGGAAGGAAGGAAGGAAGGAAGGAAGGAAGGAAGGATGGATTAACTGCTATCTTACAACTTCACAAAAAAAATCAATACAACTGTTTGCATTTCTAGGTAACTATGAGCTGGTCAGTTTGCTGCTGAGCCGAGGAGCTGATCCCCTTCTGAGTATGCTGGAAGCCAATGGAATCTCCTCATCGCTTCATGAGGACATGAACTGTTTCAGCCATGCTGCTGCTCATGGACACAGGTAAATCATAGGCATAGGTTGATAAGTGTAGGCAGGTGTGCCCCATGGATGATAGAAGAAGAGATGTCAGCTCTTTTTCCTTTTGTGCTTTATATCAGCACCTGGAGCAAGGGATTTATTTGGGTTCTTTCACAGGACTTTATGAAAGGCCTCTGGCTGGTTCAATAACATGCAAAAGATACTGGTGGATTATGGACTGAAGTGCAATCTCAGAGAATAATGGTCTCTCCTTTACTTTTTCACTTACCAGGTGTCACGTGATGGAAGCAATAGTTCTGCCAGGATGTTTCTGCACCCTAATACAATTGTATTCCTCAAGTTTTTGTATCCTAGCATCACTCCATTTTTAATCATTTTGTAAATATCAGCCACCTATTCATATTTTTGCTACCATCAGGAGCAAAATTTATATTTCTAAATATTTCTAAATTAGTATCTTTTGTTATATTATTTTTTTATGGAGAACCATTGGCCCAGAAATTTCAAACATTAATAGAAAATACTCAAATTACCAAAGGCTCTAGTATCTTGGAGTAGGGGGAAAAAAACAGCAACAAGGAGAGTAGCTGCAAGGGAGATTTAGAATAAAAATCTTTTTATATCTTTTGCAGTCCTTGAAAAAATATGGATGTTTGTGTCAAAAAGAAAAAAGTGAAGTTGTGTTTTATGGTTCTGATATTTAGACAAGTTAGGCTACAGAAAAGAGAAAATCATGATTATAAGCTTAGATAGAGAGGTTAAAATATTATTGTACTTAAACCTGCTGTAAAGATCAAAAGCCACTTCTTTATATCTTTTTTATATATTCTTTTTTTTTACTTTTTTGTCATATCTTCCTGTTACTTTTTTACACTTTGCGCTTTTTTTATCTCTCTTTCTTACTTTTTTTTCTCATTCTACTTTAGTTTGCATTAATTATTCTTGTTAAAAAATCTCAATATAAACACACATAAACACACGCACAGTGTGTATCTTTAAACTCAATTCACAGAGTGCAGCTGCTAGTGTCAATTTAAAACAAGCAAGACTGTTTTAAATTGCAAGGTATGGTTATAGTGTAAATTTGTGTGTGGCCTAGTGAATACTTCAGTAAACAAAGTTAAAAATAGTTAAAAGAGAAAATGTTGCTAAATTCCATCTTTGCATTTCTTTTGCTTGTCTAGAAAGATTCCTTGGCATTGTTAAAGTGATCTTTGTGGCATTTACTAACCCAATTACCAGAGTAAACGGAATTATCTCATAGTTTCCAGATCTATATAGCTCACCTTTTGCTTTTACTTTACAGAAATGTCCTGCGTAAGCTGTTGACCCAGCCACAGCAGTCAAAGGGAGATGTTCTCTCACTGGAAGAAATTTTAGCAGAGGGTGTGGAAAGCGATACTTCCAGCCAAGGAAGCTCTAATGAGGGCCAAGTTAAGTTATGCAAAACCAGAATGAAAGCATTACAGGAGGCCATGTATTACAGTGCAGAGCATGGCTATGTTGATATCACAATGGAACTGAGAGTACTTGGTAAGATTTTGTTTTTGACTCTCCTTATCATTGTAAGACATGGGAGAATTCCTTAAGTCACTTGTACATGCGTGTCTGTGTGTGTGGTGTGCCTGTATTAAATATATATATTTAATGCTGGATTTATTTTAAAGGGCTACCTATTCAGATTGTAAAAAAAAAAATCTGACAACTACCAGATGCCAGCAAAGAGGAGACTTCTGTAATCTTTTTGCTATCATCAAGTGATTGTCTGGGTTTCTGCAGGCAAGATCTTGCAAAATAGCGGTAACTATCTTCACCATTGCATTCTGAACAAAATGGCTTCCAGATGGGCACCCTCAAATATGTAGAACTTATAGTAGTAGTTCAGGAAGTGATCAAGGCAGGGCTTGTTTTGGTATTTTTTATTAAGAGTTTTGGAAAAAAGATTAAAAATAATAAGTTTAATGGTTAAGGCTCCAGGCTTGAAAGCAAAAAACCAAGAGTTAAAGTCCCATCTTGGCCATGAAAGCCAACTGGGTGGCCTTAGGCCAGTCACTCTCTCTCAGCCCAACTCACCTCACAGGGTTGTTGTTCTGGAGAAAATAGGAGGGAGAAGGTATACTGGATATGTTTGCCACCAGGCATTGGGGAAGAACCATGAACAACATCTTTGAGTCACCTAGAACAGAGGTCTTCAACCCTTCTGGGCTCGCAGCCTGGAGGAAAGGAGAGCAGCTTCCAAATTGGTGCACACGTGCATGCAAATGGGACCACATGCACTGGCGTGGCACTAGCAGCCCCATTTGTGCATGTACAAATGGGCTATGAGCACCCATCCGGTGCTAGCGGCCCCATTCGCACAGGTGCAAACGAGCCACGCGCACCCACCCGGCGCTAGCAGCCCCATTCGCCCCGGCGTGCATGAGCAAATGGGGCTGCCGGCACTAGCGTGAGTGGGGGGGAATACGCACGTACGCATGCACACACCAGCCAACCATTGCCATGGTCCTCTGGCCCAATAGTGGGGCCGTGGCCCATAGGTTGGAGACCCTGACCTAGAATAAGAAGATAGCATCAGAATACTGCTGCCTCCTGACACCATATCAACAGATGGAGTCATCCAATGGTTTCATGTAGATGTGAAATAGGAATGGAGAAAGAATAGAGCCCTAAGGAACACCACAAAGCAGAGTTCTCAGGCTAGATCTCTTCCCCCCACTAATAATGACTAGAACCAGCCATGGAGGAAGGAAGCACTGTGATATCATATGTCCCATTCCTAGCCTTAAAGCCAGTCCAAAAGTATACAGTGATTAGTTGTACCAACAGCTGCCAGATACCAAGGATTGTTAGGATGAATGTACCATCCCAAAGTCATTCCTCATTAAGATAATTTACGTACATGTGTGATCAGTGTCATCTCAGTATTATGTCATCATTTTAAGCCCAACAACGGGCTCCAAATAATCTGTTTCCTTCAGTTTAGAGCTACAAACCAACTATTTCTCAACAACCTTCTTTAAAATGGGAAGTTTGGAGACTGGATGAAAATTGTCTAATGCTGTTGAATCCAAGAGTTGTTTCTTGAAGAGGAGATGAACCATCACCTCCTTAAGAGCCAAAGAAAGTACTCTCTTTCTTGAGGATGCATTTATCATCAACTGGGTCCAACCATATATTGTCTCTTAAGAGACCTTGACCAATGAGGAGGGACATGGGTTTAATACACATGCCCTGGGGGCCTTGTCCACTTCTTCAGAACTAACAGCTCAAATTCTTCCTAGATAACCATGCTAGACCTTACCTCAGTCAAATCCAAAGGATTTGCCCAGCTGGAGTCTTAGAATGCAAGTGAGCAACGTTCCCCAATAGCTGCTTACAATATTTGTCCCAGCAACATTGCCGTTATTCCTCCAACCCTCCTTCCTTAGGAGAGACTGGGACACTCTAATGAAGACCACCAAATAGCTATCCATAGAAGTGACAACAGTGGGAAATGATTGAAGGGCTCTAGGTATCTTCTCTGCCACTTCACCCCCTGATGTTCTTCTGAAGAGCAAGGAGCTCTCTAGAATTCACTGATAGAATCCAATTCAAGGCCATCGGTCTCTCTTCATTCTAAGCAGCAGCCAGGGTCTTGGCCAAACATTAAAGCCTCAGGAGCAACCCCAATTTCAAACAGATTTAAAAAACTTGTTGTAAAATATTCCAGGTATATCATTATTATTTTACTTCCTGAAGTAGAAAGTAGAGTCCTCTGATGATGGCTGTTATTTTAGCTAGGAAAAATAAAAATATGATCAACAGATATCTCTCCGTCTTTAATGTTTGTTTACAGTTTGCTCTAAAAATACAATAAATAAATAAAAGCACTTAGTATTTATACTTAGATGCAACTAATTTTGCATCTGTCTCTGATATGATTCAGGCAAAAATGCCATACTTAATTAAAACATATGTTATAAAAGTCTAGTTGCAGTTCTAATTTATTCCAGGAAGAATGTTTGGAAAAAGCTGAAGGACCAGCTTTAGTCTGTACTGCAAAATATACATTATTGGTCAAATAACTGAACTACAGTAATAGGATAATGCTTTGGCAATAAATAAACTTCAGCTTTGGCACTGATACCATTGTCCTGAAATAAAGATTGACTATTAAGAAACAACTGCTTGTGCCTCAATCCTCTTTTAACGGCTGGAAAATTGGTTCTTAAAACTTTGGAGAGTTTCAATCTCCCTCTTTAAGGAGGAGATCAGATTTTTGAAAATGCATTAAATGAACATTAAAATGAAAGAGCCGTCTCATTATTAGGGCACATGATCTGCTCAAATGTTTTTTGTACTTTAAATGAGATGCAATCCAGTGCAAGATTTTTTTTTAATTAAGTTTGAAAACATTAGTTTAAGAATATTGGATTAATCACAGATGAAGATTGGATTTGTCATTTAAACAGCTACGTAAAATGGGTCATTTGGTAACAAGCCATATATAATTGAATTTCTTCTTTCTATTTCAAACTTGTGTAGAAGTTCTGCCCTGCTTTGCATTCTTTCCTCAGAATTGAAACGATGTTTAAGAAGAAACAGCAGCATCTGAATTCTAATCTTTATTCATGTATGAAAAAAAAGCTACAGAGCATTCTTGCAAATTTCTCATTTTAACAGTAGGAGTTATTTCTTCACCTTTCATTTTTGCTGACAAGCTGAGGAAGCAAAAGAAACACTTCATTTTAGTTCTGATATCTCATGACTAAAGAAGCAGAGTTTTTCCCTTGATTCTCTGTTTCACCCATATTGTTCTGTAGTAACCTTATTTGCTGATGTACCTGCTCTTGAGTTAGAGTTAGAATTGGGGCTAGGGAATCCAGCTATATTCTGGTTAGAATAATTCTCCAGTTAATCCAGCATGGTTTTGCTTCACTTAAGCCCTTGAGACATGTTGGAGATGAACTTCCATAAATGTGAGCCAGATATACTTTTATGAAGCGCAGTGCAATTCAGGCTCTTGGGTTTTTCATAAGAAAATACGAGCACTACTAATATTCTTTTTCTCAGCATTCATTCAGTGGTACTCTACATCAGGGGTCCCAACCTCCAGTCCATGGACCAGTACCGGGCCGTGGCATGCCAGCAACCGGTCCGCACAAACAAGCAAAGCCCCATCCATGGGATGCAGGCAGCACACAAAACAACGCCCCCTCTGGTCCGTGGAAAAACCTCTGTCCACAGAAACGGTCCCTGGTGCCCAAAAGGTTGAGGACCTCTGCTCTACATCTTATCAGCTAGATTTGGGGTATTCAGAAGCATGGACAGCAGAGAACTTAAACAACAATGGCAGAAAGTGGGATTAAACCTACCTGTCTACTTTCTTAGAAAATCAAATTATCCAAACTGATAAAAAAGAAAAGAAGAAATAGAGGAGCTCACTACTAGGTTAAAGTAATGTGTTATCTAACCTTGAGTAATCCCTGCTAATTCTATGCTATGTTTGGAATAGTCTTGGAGTTGCTCTGGTACCATGCCTGGAAAAGTCTTCAAATTCTTCCTACATAACTAGAATAGACTGCATACTTTTGTGCAACAATGGAGATATCTATTCATTACCAGATTTGTGGCATACAAATAACCATACAATCCATCCTGATCATATTTGCATAGATAGTTTCACAGTGAAAGCAGTGTGGGAACCATTTTCAATGCATCCATATTATTAAGCATGTCATCCATGCACATAAAGATAAAGCAAAAGCAGGTTTTTAATCCTGTTAAGCTCTGTTATTTTTTTATAGTAATCCTTAAAAAATAAATCACATCTTTTATATATCTATTTGGAATATTATATCTCCCGGTCCCACCATGTCATACTCTATAAATAAGCTTCTAGTGCTATTAGAACATTAATATCAACCATTTGATATAATACAGAGTACGTATTTGCCTCTTATCTACATGTTGTTTAAAAAAAATGGTTGGATGTCCACACTTATTAATAAAATTGTATTTCCCCTTTATTTCGGAATGGTTCCAGGAATCCCATGGAAGCTGCATGTATGGATTGAGTCACTACGAACAACTTTTTATCAGTCTCGTTACTCACTAGTACAGAACCTCCTACGGGAATTTGTCACCATTAAAGAAGAAGAATACAATGAAGAGTTAGTGAATGATGGACTGAAGCTAATGTTTGAAATCCTCAGAACCAGCAAAGTAAGCTGTTCTAAAACTATAAGCTTCACTTCAGCTCCCTGTCCTCCTTTCCTAATATCATTCTTCATGCAAAAATCTGGAGATCTCAAACACTTATATGATTTTGGTGATCTTTGGCCTGGGTAAGACGTGCCAATAATGCACTATATGAAGAAAGACATCTACTGGCACTGGATGACTAGGGTAGATCTCAAAGGTACCAATTGCCAAAGTCATCTACTCTTATTGCTTGTTAGATTACTTGCACTTCCTAGTCATTCATTCATTCATTGCATCCACACTGCAGTTGGATTTGTTGACTTTCTTCTTCTGAAGTTGCAAGCACTCAGAGGAGAAATCCATTAATCAACCTTCAGAGCTGCTTATTTTTGATACTGAAATAATAGTTCAAACAAAAATGTGGAAAAAAAAGTCAAAAGGCTGAACAATCTCACAGTTCACAATCACATACTGGAGGAAAATTAAGCCAGTTAGAATAAACATACCAACTGGATTAAGCTTTCCTGAATATGTATACAGCAATGTCACTGAGTCCGTTTACTGGAGAATATAACAAAAGACAGCTGCAGATTTCACATGTTCCTGTCCAGCAAATTAGCATTTTGTCTCATTAGTTGTTCTTCTAGAAAATGGATGTGAAAGCAGAGAACTAGTTTTAAAAGAATGGTTGGGTTTTGAAATTCAAAGCTCACCTTTGCTTTGTACTTAGGTTTTTGGCACAGTCCCTTTTAGCTTCACCAGTCTACCTGCTGAGAAAAAGCTGTTTCAGGAAAGGGTAAGATGGGTTTTCTTCTTGTCTTAGCCATTTTGACAAGATACTTACAATGAGCTCCAAAATTATAACCTAACCAAAAAAGAGTTTTAAGCTTTTGGAAAACCATAATTAGTTCTAGATGTTTCACTCACCCCTGGCTATATTTATCTATGCTTGTTTACTGGCAGCACTAACAGGGACCAGAAGGAAAAGCTCTCTTTTGCAGTAGAAGCCCTAATTCTAATACAAACGTAAATCATCTGTCATTGTTGTCATCAGCCACTCAGTCATGTCCGATCCTCAGCCACTCTATGGATCAGCACTCTCCATGCTCCTCTGTCTGGCACCACCTCCTTCAGGTCCACCATGGTCATCCCAGGGTCATCCTTTATAGCAGAGTCCCCAACTCCCAGTCTGTGGACCCGCACCAGTCCATGGCATGCCAGAAACAGGGCTGTGCAAACAAGCGAAGCCCCATCCGCGGGATGCAGGCAGCACACAAAACCGGTCCATGGAAAAAACTCTCCATGGAACCAGTCCCTGTGCCTAAAAGTTGGGGGCCACTGCTTTATAGTGTTCTGTCAATGGATACCAGGGCAGCCCCTTCTCCTTTTTTTACTAATCACTCCCAACATAATTGACTTTTCAAGTGAGTCCATTGTTATCACAGGACCAAATTATGACAGCCTCTGTTTGGCGTATCTATAATGAGTGGATATTTAATAAAGGCTTTCATTCATAAATTTGCACACATACATTAATAATATTTTAAATACTCCTTTTCTGTCATACAACTGAACATGCAATTTACAATTTATATATATATATATATATTGCCAGTACCTTTACAAAATAGTTTTGTTGATCAATCCTCCTCTAGTATTAGCAGTTATTTCTTTCCAGAGATTAGAATGAGACAAAAATGGCAAACACTTCAGAAAATCTACCTCAGTTAATTTTATATTTCTTAGGTACAAGAGATCCTCAGATCTCTTACAGGTAGAGGTATGTGGAAAATAAAGGCCAAAGTGGTCAGTGGTGGAAGGAGCACTTTCATGTATGAATACTAAATTGGGAGAGTGTCTCTAAAACAGACATGTCAAACTTGCGACATCACATGACGTCGCGCAACGTGTTGGGACGGTTTCGCCATTGCTGGCAATGAGGTGGGTGCGGCTTCCGTTTGACGCATCTGGCCCACGGGCCGGCAGTTTGACACCCGTGCTCTAAAAGATCCCAGGAACAACATCAGAGCTCTCTGTCAGAAGAGGGAAATACTAGGATCATTAGAGATACTGTGCAGAACCCTCAACCTCATGGGCCTTTGGTAAAAACAGATACCACCCATAGGGTTGAGAAAGGAATTTTATTTATTTTAGATACAGGGATAGGTATCAGTGTAGATACAGTTATTTTTCCCTCTGCGTGAGTATTGCATTCATCCTTGGCAAAGAGATGAATTCAAATACATTTTGCTCTCCTCTATATAATACAAGCAGAATAATATGTTTCTTTAACTTGTCTATTCACAGAATGACTCAATCAGCCAGCATCTTGCAGCTATTTTTACTCACTGCTACGGAAGCAGCCCCATACCCAGTATTCCTGAAATCAGAAAGACACTGCCAGCCCGTCTAGGTAAAGTACTTAATCTTCAAACAGTAGTTATCGAGCGGATATTGGTTTCTTATTGTGTTTTTCTACAGTGAAACCTAATTAAACTTCCCCTTTTGTCTCTTCTATGCAGATCCTCACTTTCTAAATAACAAAGATATGTCTGATGTGACGTTTCAAGTGGAAGGAAAACTGTTTTATGCCCATAAAGTTCTCTTGGTTACTGCTTCAAATAAGTGAGTTTCTTCTCAGCGAGTGATACTTGGTACTGAATTATGCAAAGGATCACCTAGTTATGGCATATGGGTGATACCTTACCCTATACTAACAAATAACCTTATTGAGAAGTTGCTTGTAGGTGTTAAATAGGGGACAAAAGAAAGTAGAGTTCTGAGAAACCCTGCAAAGTAGTATCCTTAAGTTACAGTAGATCTCTCCCCCCACTAACACCGGAATGTGATCACTTGCCATGGCCATCTTGGAAAATATTATCCGCCACTCTTTCTTCAACATTATTTCCATTGGCAAAAACGGACATAATATAAACACCGGGGGGGGGTAACATTTATCACATGGATTGTCCCGGGTTGAGTTGCCCCGCAGCAAGTTGGCTGTGGCAAGATGGCCACAGCAAGTTGGCTGGGCTGAGTGGCCCACGGCAAGATGGCTGTAGCGAGTTGACTGCAGTGAGTTGTCCTAGACCAGGGATAGGGAACCTTGGCTCTTTTATGACTCGTGGACTTCAACTCCCAGAATTCCTGAGCCAGCATGGCTGACTCAGGAATTCTGGGAATTGGAGTCCACGAGTCATAAAAGAGCCAAGGTTGCCTACTCCTGTCCTAGACCCCACTAACACTGAGTGGAACAAGCTATAGAGCAAGGAAAAAAGCCATCCCAACACCATGTCTTCTCCTTTAAACCTCAGAGCCAATTTAAAATGATACTGTAACCTATGATATCAGACGCCACTAAAAGATCAAGGAAGGCTAGGATAAGTACACTACCCCATCCCAATCCTTCCAAAGATCATTTTACAAGTGCAATTAATGTCACCCCGTACTGCATACAACAATTATACCCCGATCCCAAATTCCAAAATAGCAGAAGCAGTAGAGGATTGTGATTAGACCTAGGTCAGGCAATTGACAATAGTAAGAGTGAGTCAATATCACTCTGAAACCATTCATGTGTGGCTGGAAAATAGATTTCCAATGTTTACAAGCCCAGAATGGAGAAAAAGGAACTTCTGCTACTGCTTCCAGGCAGAAACCTGGAAGGCTACAGGTGATTGTCATATGTCAATTTAAAAGTTTGTATTTTAAAAACTGGAAATAATAATATACTATATTTAATTGATTTTAAAAGTTCCTTGTTACCACTATTTATATTACTATATCAATATTGTCCATGGAGTTGCATTCTGGCTCTAGACAAGCAGTGATAGAATGCCCGGTAGTTTCTTTTGATATGGCTGCGAGATACTTTAAAGATCAGATTGTCTATAGTCATTTTGACTAAAGCCTGCACTAAATCCTCTTCATTTTATGGAAGTGCTCAGCTCCACCTACATATACTCAGTTATTACTGAAAGCACTCCACCGAGTGAAATTTGAGAATGTAAACAAAATATTGGCCAAGTCTAAGTGACCTCTCACATACTTAATCTTGTCCCTCTTGGCTTATTAAATCTAATAGAAAGAGGAACTTCATTTTGGTTCTGGGCTTTGTAAATTTCTCCCTAAGAAAAAGAGATACCGTCTCTTTGAAATTTGAATTTATTTAATCACTCCTAAAGAAACCTACCCAGCACAGAAGATGTGATATTATAAGCCAGTCCCTGCAGATTTCTGTACAAAAGAATAATTGCTGATCAGGGTCCTATAGCTGAAACAGATTTTATTGTATTTGCAGTTTAGGTCTGAGTTTCTGTTAGTGCTTTGGTCAATAGCAAAGAGATGAACCTTGCTGAAAGAAGTGGGAGGTATTATGTGATTAATTACTTTCTGTTAATCTCATTAACCTGGACTGTGCAAGATTAGCTTATCTGATGCTGTTAGATGTTTGCAGTTATGCCACGGAATTCTGCTCATCTGTCTTTCATGCAGTACCCCATTTCTAATAAACCAAGAAATAGCTACCGTATTTGAGTATGGGGACTGGTCAAAACAATATGCAGATGGCTCCTAGCTCTGCCTCTCTCTTTTATTTCATAAAATGTAGACAGGATGTCCGAATGAGATATACTGCAGCAGTTGGGTTTAATGGAAGTCAATTTTCCCATGGACCATGGGGGAGGGGATGGTTTCCATCTCGCTCATTCACCCACCACTCACTTCCAGCTTTGTGGCCCAGTTCCTAATAGGCCATGGACTGGTACTGGTCGGCAGCCCAGGGATTGAGGACCCCTGATGTACTGTATAGGATGATGACTAATAACCTAAGAGTTCACTCCTATCAAACAAAGATATTCTTAGAATATTGTTCATGATCCATGAAACCATTTCAATCTAGTTTGAAGAGGGCTACACTCTTATTAAATGCCAGATTCATAGTGTAGGATTGGTCCAGCACTATTATTGGAAGGACAAATGACTTTGGTGTCTTTTTTTTTACTAAGCTTAGACTGATATAACTGTGATGCTATTTGAGCAGAGCAAATCTTTTTGTAGTTATCCCATCTCAGCTAACCTAGCCTGTTTGAATTGCTGCCAATAACTGTAAGCATAAGTTGCACCATTGTGAGATGACAAATATGTGAAAACCTAGGGATTATGGGTTGGCATAATCCAAAATTTAAGCAAAGTTACATCGATATTTGTTGTGAGTTTAGAATTTCGCTCTTGGGATAGTACACAAAATAGTGTTACTGTAACACAACACATATATTTAGGGGGGATTACAATGTTGTTTTGTTGTAATTAACTACAAATCCAGTTTATATGTGCCCAGTGCTGAGACATCATATAATCATAATCCCTGGTTCTTGTTTCTCAACCTAGTTTGAAATTAAATCTGAATTGGATTCCTGCAAACTGTTTGAAGAAAGACTCGTTTTCCGTGTATGATAGTTAGAATCAGAATTCTCCAATAAATTCAGAGAGTACCTGTTAGATTTATTTTGTTCGTTTCATTTTTGCAGGAAGCTTCTACTAGGAAAGCTGATCATCCCAAAAATTCAAAGAATGGAGCTGGGTGGGGTGGTGGGAAGGCATTTATACTTTATCAGCTAAAACGTAATCCAAGCAAATAACCTTTTAAAACCTCGGCTTGTTTTCACAGATTTAAGACACTGATGACCAATAAAACTGGACAAGACATTCAAGGCAGTAAGATTGTGGAAATTAGTGACATGAGATATAATATCTTCAAGGTGGGTTTCAAAGAATAGTCCAGTTTATTCTTTCCATTGTACAACACTGAAATGTGGAGCTGTGCTTTTGAAAACATTTATCTTCTGATACTTAGCCCATTTGCACAATAAGCAACCAATGATTAACTCTGACTAATGATAGTGGTTTACGCTTATGTCCATGGGATAAGGGCCAAATCAGCAGCAACGAAAAGCCTGCCAATTTTTTTTTTCATCAGATAGGCCAGATCCACCCAAAATTCATTTTTTTCCCCATTATAAGTGTTCATGAGATGCCAGCACATACTGAAGAATAGTCATCTTATTTAGCAAAAGTATATTCCATGGATAGTAACCAAAGCTTCCCAGGCATAATTTTCATGCTCTGTTAAACAAAATTAAATATGAATAGAGCAAAAAAAATCTTGCTGGCTTTGTATTAAATCCACTTACGCAATTGAAAGCTTATGAGGCTTTCTTGTTAAAAAAAAAAACACAACCAATTGTGATATGGAATATTTTTAAACAGATAAATAACCTAGGATGTGGAATGTTGTCAAAAGACAATAAATAAAGCTGACTTCGACATGGAAAAAAAGTAGATGGGTGAAATCTAATACACAGCAGTGCTCTCTACTTTCTGCTCTCTACTTTCATTTTTACAGAGCAGGCTGAAAATATGTAAAAGCTAGAAACCCAGAAAAGATAATATTTAGAACAATCAAAAGAATCAGTTGGTTTGCTTTTAATTTCCTCACCTCTCAGTCAATTTTTTATTTTTTATTTTTTGGCATTTGGGTTAAATGGCTGTAATTATGTGGCAATGAACTAGGTGTAGACCAGGGGTGTCAAACTACTGGCCCATGGGCCAGATGCGTCATGGCAAACCCGCACCCATCCCAGCTCCGGCAATGGGGAAAAGTCGCGATATGTTGCAACATGTCATGTGACGTGGCGAGTTTGACACCCCTGGTGTAGACAGAAGCACTTTAGGATTGTATTGACCAGTGTTTGGTAACTTTACACCAGTCTTTGCACATCAGCTCTGCCTGTCATTAGGGTTGATCTTTTTTTAATTAATTTATAATATAAAATACAAAAAGAAAATAGTAGAAAAATAGGGGAGGGGAAAGGGAAAAGTGTGGGGAAAAGGGAAAGAAAGAAAAGACTTTGACTTCCAACTCCCTTTAGTGCAGTAGAATAACATAATAGCATCAAACCTCAACTTTTTACTTTTACCTAATAGTATAAACTAGCCATTTCTATAACAACAAACCTATTTAACTGGTACAATCCAAAATCAAAGTTTCATTTTTTTTCACCTCAAGCACAAAGTCCAGAAGTGGTTTCCAAGTAGAAACAAAAGTAATTGTGGGGTTTTTTTTTAAATCAAAGCAGTCAATTTAGCCATCTCTGCTAACTCCATCAACTTTTGCAGGCATTCATTCATCCATTGTGGGAATCGAAGTGCCCTTCCATTTTTATTTTATTTTTATTGAAATTTTTTAGAATTTTTACAATATAACTCCCCACCTCCCTCATACCCCACCCTTCCCCACCCCCCTCCCTTCCCCCCGACTTCCCAGAGCTACACACAGGGTTTACAATACAATAATTATATTCTGTCTTAAATTATATTACCCTTAAGTTAACAATTCTATGACATCCTTTAGCTCTCTCCTAAACTAACATATTAAACAT